AGAGACTTCTGGAACAGCGATGTAGGCTCCCCTACAGCGCTGTCCAACCTAAGCCTAAAATACAGTGCATTGGCAGAAAGTTTTTGGACAGCGATGTTGACCCAGCAACAGCGCTGTCAGGCCAAACGTCCATCTTCAAGAGTCAGACCTAAACAGCGATGTTCAAGCTATAGACATCGATGTAGGGACCTGACCGTTGGAAGGAATTTAAGGCTAAAACTTTCCTTGTTTGGAAGTCAACAGCCAAAACAGCGATGTAGGGTTTTTTGGACATCGCTGTTGGCATGACCGTTGCTTCCCAATTTTTAAAAAACCAAGCCTAGAACAGCGATGTCCAGGCCTAGGACAGCGCTGTCTAGGTGATTTTCAGCAGATCCAATTTTAATCAAATCCCACAAATTGTGCCAATCACCCCTTAAATGTTTTGGTCCGTTGGAGCCTACTTTTCCACTATAAAATGGGGTGTTTGGGTCTGTTTTACATATCACATTACTTCACAACTTCTACTCTTTCATTGCAAATCATCCTTCAATTTTTCATAGCTTTTGAGAGCCATTTTTGTGAAGCTTGTGTTGTGTTCTTGAGCGTTCTTAGTTTACTCATTATTCACTCTTAAAGAGAGTATTGTTCTTGAGTGTTTTTAGTGTTCTTAGACACTTGACAAGAGAAAGTATTTCTCTTGTTGCTCGAAGGAAGGGCTATTTCCTTCGAAGGTTCGTTGAGGTTCGTGTGACTCGAATTCTCAAGTTGTACGGGTTTGTTAAGCACCGTTAAGCTTAACGAGATAGTAGTGTAGCTCGAGAGAGTCTCTCGGGAGGCTGGATTAGCCACAAGGTGTGGTGAACCAGGGTAAAATCGGTGTGCCTCTTACTCTTCTCTTTACTTCTCGTTTATTCATTTTTTATTCCTGCGATTTTTGATCAAACGCTATTCACCCCCCCTCTAGCGTTGGTCTATTATTCTAACACCTTCGACTTGACATAGTCAATCGAGATAATACTTGTATTGAGAAGTTGCCTAATGGTTTTGTGTCTACGGCGAATGTGCCTAGACTTACCATTATACAATTTGTTTTGAGCTCGTCCTATTGCTGACTGACAGTCATAATATATGCAAATTGGAGGAACTGGTTTTTCCCAGTTTGGAATATCCTCAAGTAAATTCCGAAGCCATTCGGCATGTTCTGCACACTTGTCTAGTGCTATGAACTCAGATTCCATGGTAGATCTGGCAATTAACGTTTGTTTTGAGGATTTCCAGGAAACAGCTGCACCGGCTAGCATAAAGATAAATCCGCTTCTGGATTTTGAATCCTTATTATCCGCAATCCAATTGGCATCAGTATATCCTTCCAACACGGGTGGATACCTGCCATAGCATAGGCTATAGCCTCGAGTATAACGAAGGTATCCCATTACTCGGACTATGGCCTTCCAGTGCTCAGCACTCGGATTGCTAGTATACCTACTTAGTTTGCTAATGGCGCAAGCTAAATCTGGCTGTGTACAACTCATTAGATACATCAGACTTCCGATGACTCTAGCGTATTCTGTCTGAGAATCGCTACTCCCTCGGTGTTTACCAAGGTGAACATTTACGTCTATCGGCGTCTTAGCTATCTTTGTATCATCCTTGTTGAATTTCTCAAGGATCTTGTCAATGTAGTGGGATTGGCTCAAGCTCAGACCATCTGGTCTTCTTAGTATTTTGATTCCAAGAATCACATCAGCCAGACCCAAATCTTTCATATCGAATCGTGCGTTCAACATGTCCTTGGTGGACTTGACCATCCTATCGTTGCTTCCAACGATAAGTATGTCGTCTACGTACAGACATAAAATGACATACCCTTCAGATGTGTCCTTAAAGTATACGCACTTATCCGACTCATTTATCTTAAAACAGTTGCTCATCATTACCTCGTCAAACTTATCATGCCATACTTTTGGCGCTTGTTTAAGACCGTATAATGATTTCACAAGTTTGCAGACCTTCTTTTCTTGGCCCGGAACCTTAAACCCCTCGGGTTATTCCATATAGATTTCTTCATCTAGTTCGCCATTTAGAAAAGCAGTCTTTACATCCATTTGGTAAACATCCAGGTTTCGTAAGGATGCAAATGCGATGATCATTCTGATAGAATCCATCCTAGTCACAGGCGCGTAAGTATCAAAGTAGTCGTAGCCCTCGCGTTGGCTTTACCCCTTGATCATAAGTCTAGCTTTGTACTTGTCAATGGAGCCGTCAGGCTTCATTTTCCTCCGAAAGACCCATTTGGAACCTAATGGTTTACACCCCGGAGGGAGATCAACCAATTCCCACGTGTGATTCTGAAGAATAGAATCAACTTCACTTTTTATGGCTTCTCGCCACTGAGGTCCCTTAGTTGAGGTTACGGCCTCGTGATAGGTTCGTGGTTCCTTTTCTACCAAACAGGTTAGAATATCGGGTTCATTTTCCATTAGAAATGACAAAGTTCCTTTGTCAAATTCTATCAGATATGTTATGAAGTCAGAACCGAACGTCTTTTCAGTTCGCATTCTTTTACTTCGTCTCAGTTCAGTCTCATGTTCGACTTCATCATCGTCATCGGAATTCAACTGATTTGAATCATCATTACCCATCATCTCAGTATGAGAACGTTTGGACGAACTTGCTTCTTCACTTGACTTGCACGGGAAAATGTGCTCGAAAAACGTTGCATTCCGTGACTCAATGATTGTGTTCTTATGAATTTCAGGATTATCTGATTTGTACACCAAGAACCGGTACGACGTACTATTGTACCCGATGAAGATTCCATCAACTGTTTTTGGACCGATCTTCATCTTCTTTGGTGGTGGTGCAAGTACTTTCGCGAGGCACCCCCACACTTTGAGATACTTATAGGAAGGTTTCCTATTATGCCAAAGTTCATACGGAGTTTTGTCAAGTTTCTTACGAGGTATTTTATTTAGTAAATAATTACTTGATAAAACAGCCTCCCCCCACATGTTCTGGGGTAACCCAGAACTAAGTAGCATCGCATTCATCATGTCTTTCAGAGTGCGATTCTTTCGCTCCGCTACACCGTTAGACTGTGGTGTATACGGTGGGGTTACTTGATGCACTATTCCATGTTGTGCACAAAACTCATTAAGTGGAGCATCATACTCACCACCTCTATCGCTTCTCAATGCTTTGATTTTGCGATTAAGTTGATTTTCCACTTCGTTCTTATAACGAACGAAAGTGTCTAACGCTTTATCTTTACTTTTTAGTAAATAGATATAGCAATATTTCGTGCTATCATCGACGAAGGTAATAAAGTACTTATTACCCCCTCTTGAAGGCGTTGTTCGAAAATCACACAAGTCGGTGTGAACTAACTCTAGAGGTTGAGTATTTCGTTCGATGGTTTGAAACGAACTTCGAGTTGACTTAGCCTCAACACAAGTTTCGCACTTGTGGGCTAGGTCAATACTAAACTTAGGTATGTGTTCCATGTTAATTAATTTTCGAATAGATGCATAATTAACATGTCCTAGTCTACCATGACATAAACTAGAAGACTCATACACATAAGCAATAGGATTTTTATTGATCTTTTCATGAACAGTCATTACATTAAGCTTTACAAGCCCATCGGAAATATAACCTTTCCCAATAAAAATCCCTTTCTTGGACAAAATTAGCTTGTCTGATTCAAACACCATTCGGAAGCCGTGTTCGATCAACAATGACCCCGACACCAAATTTTTGCGAATATCAGGCACATAGAGAACGTCGTTAAGCGTTAACTCCTTGCCTGAGGTCATTTTGAGCTTAATCTTGCCCACCCCTTGTACCTCTGACTGGCCCGAGTTGCCCATCCAGACCTTGTCACCGGAGGTCTCTTGAAATTCGTGAAACATGCTCCGGTTGGAGCAAATATGACGTGTGGCCCCTGTGTCCACAAACCATTCCCTCGGGTTTCACCCGACGAGATTCACCTCGGTGACAACCGCGCAGAGGTCCAAGTTGTCAAGCTCCGCACACATGGCTTCAGTGGTTTTCTTCTTTCCCTTTTGTGGCTTCTTTTTCCTACAATCGGAGGAACGATGCCCAGTAATGCCACAATTGTAGCACTTTCCTGCAAATTTAGAAACACCACCCTTAGGACCCATTTTCTTCTTGTCCTTCCCGCCATGTGAGGAGCCCGACAGATGTTCTACAACATTCGCCTTTGCCCCTCCATTTCTTCTAGCAAGCCCTTCCTCTCGTATCCTCAACCGCGTGAGCAGTTGCTCCAAGTTCATCAGCTCCGTTCTCTTAAGCTTGAGGTCGGCTTGGAAGTCTTCCCACGACCTGGGAAGTTTGTGGATGATGGCCGCCACTTGGAAGGCCTCGCTGACGCCTACTTTTTCAAGTAACGTGAACAACTTCTAATGGCATTCGAGGAGTCGGACCCGCTGTTGTCTAAACGACAGCTGGTAGAACATCAGGTCGTAGAAGGGCTGCTACTTGAAGAAACACGGCCGTAGAACAGCTTGATACTTTTTGTTCAAGCTATTCCAAAGCTCCTTGGCGAGCGTTGCACCGGCGTAGACGGGGTACAGCGAATCTCCCAACCCCTCCAGGATAATGTTGATGGCGAGATAATTGTTGTGGTACCATGCTTGGTTCACCATCGCCACGAGGGGGTCGTTGGCTTCATTGGACTGGGGGGATCTTGCTGCAGGTACTCAGCAAATCCCAAGACGATTATGAAGAACGTCATCTTTTGTTGCCACATTTTGAAGTTCGTCCCATTGAACTTTGGTGGCCTTTGAACCGAACTAGCGGGCACCGTAATTGGCCCAACTGCATTGGGCGTGTGGAGGAAAGGCCCGTTAGTCGCCCAATGGGGTCCAACGAATGGATTGACCGGTGTGGGGAAACCCGCGTTCGGTCCTACGTTGACCGGTGTGGGAAAGCCCGCGTTCGGTCCAAAGTTGACCGTCGAGGCCGAAGCCATAGTCGGTCCGAGAAATGGGTTCGAATTACCGACGGGGTGATCCCCCGTGGTTTCGAGCCCGGGAATGGGTCGAGGGCCGACCAGAAGATCGAGCTCGGCATTGAAAACGACGTCATGGTCGCGGCCCCCACACTTGCCCCGAAGGGTAGTGGTGAGGACGGCACAACCATGGCGACCGAAGAGGTTTCCACCGGAATTTCGGAACTTATTCCGATGCCGGAGGAACCCACGATGCCGAATCCGAACTCCATCACTACTACCTTAAGATTGTTGAATATTACAGCGGGAAAATAAAATAAAAAAAATAATCCGAACTTATAAAACGTTCGGATTTTACAACAAAAAATAAAGAAAATAAAAACTTGGAGTCTTCGGATGCTTGAACGAACGCAAGAACACGAACGAACGGAGAGAGGAACGACGCCGGAGCAAAAGAAGGGTGAGGAAAGGGGAGTCGCCGAAGCTTTCCTTAAGGTAGTATTGCCCGCCTCCCGCAGTGGCTAACGTGGGCAATCTCCTCCCAAGATAAAACCGCTTCGTGCTAGGTCTAGAGCGGTAGAACAAAGCATCGGCGAACGAGCTACTGCCGGAGAAGATGATCGGAACTCGGGAATTTGCCGGAATAATTTTACTACAGAGAGAGAGGATTTTCGAGAGTGTACTCGTCTACTTCATCTCTCGACCAGCCTCTCCTTAAATAGGAGAAGGCTTGGCTAACTGGACAGCCCGGGCGGAGATACCGAGGAGCCTTAGGCGACTCTTCGGTCGGCCATGCATGCATGCTTCAACTTTCGTACACTTCGTTAATTGTACACGCGCTTGTTTCGGTCTCGTAAAAATTTAGCCCCGCCCCGCCCCGCCCCGCGCGCGCTGAGCCGGACGGCGGCGGCGGGCGCGCAAGGAGTCCTCTTCTTGTTCCTTTCATAAGCTTATTTCAATGCCTAAGCTTAAATATGAGAATACGAAAGGTTTAGAAACCGGTGTAGGACAAAGGCATTTACTCTACCTTAGTATTCAACTTTGAGAATTAATTTCTCATTCACCCGAGTACCGTTTATGACGTGTCATATGTCAAGACGTTCGTCTTTCTTACGAGATTAATCGTCCATAATTATTTTGGAAAATAATTTTGTGGACCCTATCAAATTTATGTCCGAAAATGTCCAATTTACTCAAAATTTCCAACAGAGAGTGAGAGACGAGTTTTTTGGGATATTTTTAGAAAGCATCACCGTACATAAAAGGTATTGAACCATTAATGTTATACGAGGTATCTAAGTTTTGTTTATGCAGCAAGCAAATCGCCAAATTTTATTGTCACCTGCTAATTGAATATATAATTGTCTCAAACGCAGTTCTTTCCAAAATACATAAGCAATACTCGGAATATATAATGGATCATATTAAAATTCCAGCCCACGCAAATCCTACATCTGGCTAACTTTTGCTGTATTTTTGTTAAAATTATACATAAGCTAGCCAAATGGCCGGTAAGAACTGCATCGACTGGATCTTCATATGCTCCATTATATATTTCGAGTATTGCTTATTCGTTTGAAAAGGAAATTATTATGTGTTTGAGACAACTAAGGCCCCGTTCCGTTCAACTTATTTTTTCTTATTTTTTCTTATTCTTATTAAAATCAGATCAGATCAGATCAGACCAGATCAGATCAGATCGAATCAGATCAGATCAGATCAGACCAGATCAGATCAGATCGAATCAGATCAGATCAGATCAGATCCAATCAGATCAGATCAGATCCAATCAGATCAAATCAGATCCTATCAGATCAGATCAGATCCAATCAGATCAGATCAGATCCGATCAGATCAGATCAGATCAGGATTTATTAAAATATAAGATCTCATCAAGAATTATTATTATTATTATTATTATTATTATTATTATTAATATTATTATTATTATTATTATTATTATTATCATTATTATCATTATTATTATTATTATTATTATTATTATTATTATTATTATTATTATTATTATGATCATCATCATCATCGTCATCATCATCGTCATTATTATTATTATTATTATTATTATTATTATTATTATTATTATTATTATTATTATTGTTGTTGTTCTTAAAAATGAAAAAGAATAAACTTTAGAAATAGGTTAAATAAAAAGCTGAGAAAGTAATCCTTAATTATTAGACGTCGTAAAAATTAGTTTTAAAATACATTGACAATGTCAATCTAATTCTACTTTTAAAATATATTTTTATTGCTACTTGTAATTTGAGTTTCTAAACTTTTGATCTTTTATAAGGATGAGATATTTTAATAAAAATACTATCTCTTCTATATATTGATTATCTAAATTTAATTAATTTTAAATGTATATCTAAATTAAATATTTATTCTAATGTATAATTCTAGTTTTACAAAAAAATAATCATAAAATAAAAAATATTATTACATTATAATATGAATGATTATTCTAATATATGAATTAACTATTTTTATTTTATTAAAAAATAATCATTAAATAAAAAATATTGATTATATTATAATATGAATTATCATTACAATTTTCAAACGTTATTATAAAGTCAAATTAAATTATTGATTTGAAATTTTAAATTAAATCATAATTAATCAGA